CCCCGCCCCGACACACAGAACAACTCTTCATGCATCTGTCGATACCCAAGGCATGTCGTAAGCGCTCAAATAGAAAGTGTGTGGGTGTTTGTATTTATGCGAGACCGATGGAAGGGGGGAGGGAAAGCTGCATGTGTGGGGGGGCAGAGAGTTTATTGTTATTTGTGTGTTTCTATGAGAGTCCTGAGAGCTCGCATGTGGGGACTCAAAAGGGACACATCAGAGTTGCTGATGAAAGCCCGCTCGGTGTTCTCCAAAGAAATATTTTACTTCATCTTTTTTTTTCTTTCTTCTCTCTGCTTGTAGCAATATGTAGAATTGCGGTTCAAGGCAATGCAAGTTGCTATGGTTTCTGTCTGGAGAGTGCAGCGTTTTATTTGTCTTTGTCCCTCAAAAACACAAATCACTGTGAGTAGCAGCAGTAACCTCACATCAGGGCTAACAATGGACCTCCACCTCCACAGTCTTGTGCCACACCGACGGAAGCTTTCAGAGAAATTATGTTTCCCTGAGTGAAAGGTTGAAAGAAAAGATTGTGTGTGTTTGTGTGTGTGTATGCCATTGATTGAAGGATTGGTAGATCGTGTTTATCCATTTTCAGACAAAGAAACACAAGTCTATAAAGGATACAATGTTAAAGCTATAACACTATAGTCCCAAGATCTTATAAGTAATAGAAAACGCAAGCCATGAAACAATACATTAAACTGAACTAAAACAAATCTTGAAATTGAAAATCACATCACCAAAATTAAGAAAATTACGAAATAACTACATTCACATAATGAAAAAAAAATCATATTATTTCAAATGTTACTTCAAATCTTTTACTGTAGCAAATAAAAGCCATAATCTGATTTTATAAACTTCAATATTCCCTTAAGGCACTTTACATTGGTGGACACTTGCCCTATTATATTGAGAAGTGTGTGTTTGTTTTCCTGTACTCATTGGGACAAAGTTTTGAAAAACAACCCATTCTGTGAGGACATTTATGGGTATGAGGACCTTTAAAATTAATAAAAATGGTATGTGTGTGAGCATGTGTGTGTGTGTGTGCGTTCGTGCGTGCGAGAATGTGTGTGTGTGTGTGTGTGTGTGTGCGTGCGAGCATGTGTGTGTGTGCGAGCATGTGTGTTTGTGTGTGTGTGTGTGTGTGTGTGTGTGTGTGTGTGTGTGTGTGTGTGTGTGTGTGTGTGTGTGTGTGTGTGTGTGTGTGTGTGTGCGAGCATGTGTGTGTGTGTGTGTGTGTGTGTGTGTGTGTGTGTGTGTGTGTGTGTGTGTGTGTGTGTGTGTGTGTGTGTGTGTGTGTGTGTGTGTGTGTGTGTGTGTGTGTGTGTGTGTGTGTGAAGGTGAACTCACGGATTATCCAGCAGCAGGACAATGGGGTTGAGTTCTTTCCTGGGTCTGTAATAAGCTCTGAGAGGAACGATAAAATTATAAAGACCGTTCCCTGCTGTCTCAGCAGACACAATTATGAGCTTGTTTTTAAAACCATAAGCCTTAGCATCCTCAAAGCTGTTGTGCCTGCAACCCTGCATAAGAAACAAAAAAACAAAACAGGTATTTTAGGTTTGCGTTTCAGTCGTGAAGGACAGAGGGAGAGGAGGATAGGAAATGATGGAGGCAGTAAGTAATTGAGTGACTAAGTTGGAACAGCGACTGCCCACCTGGTCCAGTCGTAGGCAGCAGAACGGAGCTTTCTCTGCCAACAGATGGCATAAGGTGGGCGAGCTCCCGATGTACGGAGAGTTGGGGGGATAACCTTTCACATACCTGCAAACAAATCCAAAAAAGCTTGAATGACACATTGCATGGAAACAGACTGTGTTTAAAAAAGGATTTCCAGTACCAAAAGAAAAAGCTAGTTTCCTAGAATTCACCTATAGTCATTTATATGACCTTTAGAAATAAGATTTCAGTGCACTCAGGTTTTATTGCATGCTGGGCAAACTATTCAAAGAAAGATACCAGGTAATGTCTCCTTTGTAAAGATAGTCTTAGGTTGCATAATGGGAAAACACTACAAGAGTAATTTAGATAACATATGATTGTTCATTTGATTTGCATTTTGCAGGTTTAGCATATATTAAATGACTGTTGTTTCAATTATTTTAGGCTCAATCAGAAATCGGACAGCATTCATTAATTGATGTGTAGAACTATAAACAAGTGAAACTTATTTACATCAACTAAAAATGCAAAAGTTACTTGTGCAGAGATATGTGCCCCTAGGTATAAACAGATTTTATGTTGTTTGTAAAATGTTAAACTGCTATGTAACAAATAATTACAGCTATTGCACAAATGAAGGGTAGATAAAGCACAGTATTTCCCTAGTAAGCAGGATTATATAAGATGTACAGGTAACAACAACAAGCAAGTTACAAGCACATCCTATTTGTACTTAACTTCTAAACTACTCGTTCGTTTTCATCACTGGAAGAAAAAGACTTAAAGGTTATTCATAATAAAATAACTGTTACTGTAAGTAATCAGAAGAAACTACGTACAAATGTAATTTTCAACACAAGGAATCTAACTGCAACGTGAGAAAACTGAAAGTCAGGTAACTATTCTTTCTGCATTCAAAGTCGATGTTATCATTATCTAATAGCCTGCATTATTTGCTCCTTGTCATTTTGTTTTTAAGGTTTGATTATTAATGTTCAAACAGAAACCTTACTCAGTAGATTTCTCATCTGTGAAGACAGAGTCATCTTCTGATTGGTCGCTGAGAAGGTCACATGGCAGAATGGAGGAGGAGTCGGCGATCTCCTGAACTGGAGCGATGCTCGGCCGGCGACCCCCTGCTCCGTTTACTGAGGGCGGGACCAGTGTACCCCCATCAGGGGGACTCGTGTTGTGAAGATCCATGGCAACAGTGCCTGTAAATTATATTCTCTCCAGCTTTATATCACACATAAGGAACAACTCATCCCTCAGTGAATGCCTGACGAGACACAGCAGAGCTCACTGTGCCAGATGACAAAAAGGCACAAAAAGAGCTCACAGAGACACAGAATGATACAAAGATGCTCAAAATGACCACAAAGAGGCCCAAAAATGACCTGAAACAACCACATAAAGATAGAAATAGCTGCAAATTCACTACAAAAATACCCACCCACTCACATATTGAGACATAAAATGACATTAAAGACACACAAAACAATTGCAAAAAGACCACAAACAATTAAAAAGTGACATTCATAGACTATAAGAATATACAAAATTAATACAGAAACAATTTTCTTGACAAAAATACAACAAGACATACAGTACAGTAACTTTAAAGAGACATAAAATCACTTCATAGAGACGCAGGAAAGCTAAAAACAGAGGAAGACAATCGCAAAATGACCTTTAACAACTACAAAGTAACACAAAATAACTGCACAAAAACTACAAAAAAAACAAAACAATTACAAATGGACATTAAACAAAGTTAGATACATACCAAAAAGACACAAATACATGATCAGAAAACTACAAAGAGATGCACAATAACTTTTAAGTCTGTGTATATTTCTCCAGTTTAGGTGATGTGGGGCCTTTTGTCCCGTAATGCTCCTGTGCCTCTCACCCATGCTGGCGATGATGCTGTGCACAGGAAGCTGCGAGGGTCCTCCGTAAAGCCCCCCCGCTGGGCGGCCTTTCCTCTGCTCCTGGTTGAAGATGAAGGCGGAGTTCTCCTCCTTGGTGATGTTGATGTAGTAGCAGGTGTCGGTGGCGGCCATGATATGGCGGGGGCCGGGGTTCAGCAGGATGCTCTTGTTGTCGTCCTTCTTTATCCCGATCAGACACACGCCGTACCTGCACCACACACACTCGTTGTTAGCATTATATACTTAAGCAATAGCTCACGACAGGCCGTGGTATATGCTCATTATATCACAGCTAAGGGGCGTGGTTCGGCCCGACGCGAAGCGGAGGGTCGACAACCCCCTTAGCTGT